TCTACGCACCAAGTGCAGCAAGTGCAACTACGGTTGGCGGAATTTCCCGACGTGTTTCGATAATACGTAATATACATTTTCCTCGGCAATTGCTGATAATCGACGGTGCCACCGTCAGATTATCATAATTCCACCGACGATCTGATCGCGGCCGGAAGAATCGTAACGATTTTACGCATGACTAATTGCGTTTAACAGCGCACAACTGTTGGTGAGGCAACAACCAAACGGGGGAAGTTGTTTTCGGCATTACAATGGCATAAGAATGGCTTCGGGGGCCGGCGGCTCGTGTTACGAAATCGAAACTGGCCCCCGCTTGATATGTTCGAATTACCAATTTCGAGCGAGGCGGCTCGAGTGCGCGAGGTTTTCATTTTCAACGGGCGACAAAAGAAAAGAGAGAGAGAGATAGAGAGAGAGACACTGCCTTGTCGTGTAGACGCGCACGTAAATATATATACGATGGATGCAGTACACACACACACACACACACACATATATATATATATACAGAGACACGTATGCACACGTAAATAGGAGCGTGACACGTCGAGAAATCTATGGGGCTTCGAGAGAGGACGGTTGGAAGGCAAACGGAAATGGGAAAATGCGCCTCGGTCGACCGATCGGAAACCCTTTTCGTCGTTTCGACTTTTCAACGTTTCCGTCGGCAACAGCCACCATGTTAGCGTTGCCTCTCGTACCGCCGCCTTTATTGCGCAGCGAGAGAGTCCAACGTCGGGGGGAAAAAAAAGAAGAGCTGCCCCGCGCTCTCGTTATCTCTTGGCGAAAGAGGGAAAGCAAAAAAAAAAAAAAAAAGAAATAATACGGCCGAGCACGTACGGCGTATATACGGCGATGGTTCACGTCGGGCGAAAAATATCCACGTCTGCAACGCTGTGCGGCATTTATTGGCACATCGGGGAGAGCAACGGCCTCCTCCTCGGCCAAACTCTGCCGAATTTCTTCCTACCGATATTTTCCCGATCGATATCCATATCTTGCCTTCGTGTAAACTAACGTTTCTTTATACGACGACACCGTGTGTACGAAACAATCCTTTCAAGAGAGAGAGAGAGAGAGAGAGAGAAACAGAGAAAAGTGGAAGATCATGTTCAAAATATTTACAACGCTTGATGGAAATCGTTCCGAGAAACACCGGTTAGGAATTGTAACAAAAACATGGAATAAAGAGTACGAGCACGAGGTACTAGATAATCACGATTTCGACCCGTTTCCGGAACGACCTTCGTACCATCTGCAGCACATAAACAAGTACCGAGATAGGCTATAGCCGCAATAGGTGCACAGGGTTACTCGACGAGAACTGCTTTTCGCGGGCAAACGTGGAAAGAGTTAGGGACTTACAGCATCATCTCCTTGGCGGCGGAGCTTCCGAAGCACATCACGGTGGCGGCGGC